ATTGAGTCAGCTCTGTTTCCTATCTGATTAATGCTTCTTGTTTCCACCAGTCGCTGTACTAGTATTGCACGGATTCCTGGAGGTGATGGTGCTTTTTTGGTTGCTTATGCTGATGGAAATATGCATGTTTACGAAAAGGCAAGTTTCAAATAAGTAAAGAAGGCTTTTTTCACGTCTGGGAGTTCAACTTTCAAATTTCATGATGTTCTATGCAGTACGTTATTTTTTAAGTTATTATTTTCTCATATTTTGCCCTCTAGAACAAGGATGGTGCTGGTGATTCTTCATTCTCTGTTATCAAAGATCAAACTCAATTTTCTGTTGCGCATGCACGACACAGTAAGGTACTTGTCATTGTTCATTCTGTAAAACTATTTGAGAATTTCTTAGTTTTGCTTGCCTCCTTAAAATTTGTAGTTTTTACCTTAAAACCATTTTCTAAATTCAGAGGAACTTAACGATTCTATCATGCGTATATTTGTAGTAGCCTAGTAGGTGGTACATATCTTATAGCTTACTATTCACTATATATTTCTAGGTTTGAGCTGTAACATTCCGTTTAAATTATGATGTATACATTTCTTGTTTATATGCATCTTTTTATTACATCACAGTTAATGCCATGATAGTCTCAATATCAGGGATGATAGGACCGGCCTTTGCACCTTAATTGGTATTAGTCTATCTGTTGTTTGATATGGTTGAGGAAGCCATATGGATTTTCCTCCCATCTTTCTGTGTATTGTTTTTTGGTGTTCACGATCCATTATTTACTTGCAGAGTAACCCAATTGCAAGATGGCATGTATGTAAAGGTTCAATTAATAGCATTGCTTTCTCCTCTGATGGGGCCTATTTAGCAACCGTCGGAAGAGATGGTATCAAGTCAATTTGGCACCATTTTCCTTTTATTTGCTGTTCCCTTTTGTAGTTCAATTGAACTTTTAAGTTTTTTATTCTTCATACTTGAGTGCAGGTTATCTGCGAGTTTTTAACTATTCAAAAGAAAAGCTAGTATGTGGTGGCAAAAGCTATTACGGCGCTCTACTGTGTTGTGCTTGGAGGTGCCGTATTCTTTTTTTTGTTCCAAAGAAAGTTCTTTAAACTCGAGCATTGCTGTTTATCTAAAGGACACTGCGTTCTTTTTGTATAATATCTAAGTTATCACCTGGAGAAAATATAATTTCTTATCGACAACTCCATTGAACAGTATGGATGGAAAATATATTCTGACTGGAGGTGAAGATGACCTGGTTCAAGTTTGGAGTATGGAAGATCGAAAGGTTGTGTGGCATGGGGGGAGGGGCACAACTCATGGGTAAGATTATTATTTTATAATGAAGGCTTGTTTATTTCTTGTGGATGACAGATAGCTCTGTACTCATTTCCTTCTAATGGCGCTGGCAGGTTAGTGGAGTGGCGTTTGATTCGTATTGGTCATCACCTAATTCAGATGGCACAGGGGAAAGTGTGAGGTACCGGTTTGGTTCTGTTGGTCAGGTATGTAAATATTGGTAGCCTGGTAAAATAATAGCTGTCCTAATTATTGGACCCTTGAAACTTAGGTCTGCATTGGTTACTATACATCGTAGGTTATACTCGGTCGAGGTTCTTGTTCAAATAGCATCTTGAACAGCTAATATGACGAATATCGTTTCTAGTTAGAATACAAATGTGGCGACCAGATGAGTATGATGAAGGCCAAAACATATTGCTGATTGTAGGTTTTAAGCATGATTACATTAGAATTTGAAAATTTGGCTCTAGAATAAACTTGAGAACCTTTTATATGGTTCCTTCTTTTAAATGGAACAATGGGCAAAGTTCATCTGCAGCTCATGGAATACCTTGCACTTCTCATTACTGGTTGTTCATCGTTTTCATACCGAGCCCCTCTCAGACTTGATTTTTACCCCGGAATCTGTACTCGCTGTTTGTCGAGAGGGGCACAAAAAGTTTGGATGAGACCCAGTGTTGCGGAAAGCCAACCAAGCAACAGTGAAACCGTGTTATTTCCAAGGATAAACCATTACTTTTGAGCAAGATTAGCAGTTCTAGCAACAAACAATGACCAGAGATACATTGGTAATTGCTGGTGTGGCCTTTCGCTTCACGGTATCAGTTGGTTTTCTTGAAGCAATGAGGGTAACCAACTAAATCCGTTGTATATTCAAGGACAACTAAATCCTTCAGTGATTCTATCCTATGCCAATAAGCCTGATATCAACTTTGTTTACTACCCAGGACTTGCTGGAATTGGAGCTACAGTAAGAAAGACCGCCACCAGGTCCGATATTATTGATGATTTGGACCCATTTCTTGTGGACGAAGGATTCAACTTCCTTCTCTGGTTAAAGAAACAGTCCAATATGCAGATTTTGTAGTTCTGACGATGGATGCAGGGGCAGTGGAATTGAAAATGCTCTCAGACTTGTTCGAAAGTGGAATCATATGCTTTGTCGATGAGCTTTTCCTACACTGTGCAGATCAAATCGAAAACGGAGTAGTGAAGGGTAACTGCATGGATCTCTTCAAGTCCCTTAGAAGAACTGGTGTTTATGTCCATCAACGGTGGGGAGATTAGAGACCGCCATTAACATGGTGGGACTCTGTGTTGTTTGAAACATGAGTTGATCTATGTACTAGTCTAATGTTGTTATTATGCTATGGTGGTCTGTTTTCCTCATCTTCTGATAAGTTGAGAGGGAACCAAGTTGCTTTGCGTGGTTGAGCAGCAGAATAAGCGACCACTAAGGTCTTTAGTTTTGATTGAATATTCACACATTACTTGTGTGGGTTATTGCCTAATTATTCTCTTTATATTTGGTTCATATTAGTATGAAGATGATTAGACTAATATACAATTGGTTAATATTAAAGTTTAAAGTAATTTGACTAATATTTTTAGTTGAAATAAAAAATATTATATTATTCACAATAAATTATATTAATTGTATAATTATTCTAGTTGTAATTTAAAAATTTACCATCAAAACATTATCGATTGTAATTAAAATTATTATCAATTATATAAAATTTCAAAGTAGATATGTAATATTTTAAGTTAAAATTATTATCAATTATATAAAATTTTAAAGTAGATATTTAATATTTTAAGTTAAAATCTAATATAACGTAACATTCTCACTCGTAATTGAAATGAGTCATAATTGAAATTATTACTCATTGTATAATATTTTAAATTCAAATATACTGTACTCGTAATTGAAATGAGTTGTAATTGAAATTATTAATCATTGTATAATATTTTAGATTCAAATCTACGGTAAATTAGTCTTGGATTAAGCTTCAGTACAAGAGAAGTACCAATATGAACATGATTTGAGAATATCCTTGACTTCTTTCTTTCATAAATAGGATATATATACACGTACATATACAAATTTACAATAAGAATGATACAAAAAATTTATAGTTACATTGCTAATTCAATGAATGCTTTGTTTCCTCAATCCCTCAGGAACCATTGTTCTAACACAAGACAATGAAAACATTACTTAGCTAAGAAGACTCAAAAGAATTCAGATATACATATATTAAGCAATGTCATCATATCCCTCTGCAACATCTTCAAAAATTGTTTCCAAACCTGGACAACTTGAAGGCTTTTCTGGATAAATGATTGGAGCTGGAGCTGGAGCTACTTCCATCCAATAACTTCTTTGCCCGTTTTTCTTGGTCATTCTTTTGAAAGGCTTCAATGAAGAGCCAAATTCTGATATTTTGTTGATGATTAACAAAGGGTTAAAACAATGAAAAATGTCTCTCTTCCTCCTGTTTCAAGAAAGAAGAGAGATGTTACAAAACCTGGGGGAGGACTTCCAAAAAGGAACCTTTTGGTTTTACAAGAGAGAACTTAGAAATAAATTGAGATTGGTGAAGATGACAACGCTAAAAGAGGTTTAAATAGAGAGCTTAAACAGAGTCGTTGAGAACATTCACCGGAAAGCATGGACATGGTTTTCGACTGATCCAAAGATAGGATTTTGAAATCTCGGCAAGTAATGAATTTGTTTCACCAAAATTAGTATTCTACAGGTGAATAACAAACGTTGATAACAGGGCAATTACTAGCAGTCAAAACGCTAGAAATAGAAAATGACTTCCAAGGCCAGGCATGAAAAGGGTTTACTGAAAACAGATCAATCTAAGCATCTACAAAATACCGTGCATAATCCATTGACTTAATCCAAAAAGAATCCAATGGTATTAATGCGACTGAAACAATTTAATCAGTTACTACTTCAACTAATCGACAAATGGCAAAATGCTAATGAAAGCACAAGATAAACAGGAGGAAATCCAAAACTGTAACTCAAAAATCCCATAACAAATTCAACAATTTCATCAAACATAGAAGCAAATTTGGAAATGCGTTCATCAAAAAGAAGATTTCATTCAAGCATTCGTAGCAAAATCACCTAAACAAATAGCTAGCCGAAATGCATGTTAGTTGACAATCTAAGCATGAAAAAAATACCAAATTGAAACTATTGGCTCAAAGCATCAACACCCGTGGGGAAAATCAAACTCTATGATTGCTTGACTAATCTTCAACAAATGGCAAAGTGCTTGAACTAATCATCAACAATCTATCGAAACAATCTATAGGCATCAATGTTACCGAAACAAAAATTGAACTAATCATCAACAAATCGCAAAGTGCTATCGAAACAGAATACAATCAGGATGAAATCCAATGCTTTAACTCAAAAACCCCATCACAATTCAGTAATTTCATCGAAAACAGAAGCATATTAAGTGCTTCTGAAATGGATACAATCTAAATCAAGATTTCATCCCAGTATTAAACTTCAACAATAAGCAAAATCACCTAAACAAAAACTTAAAACAATAGGTATCTTTATTCGGAGTATATTAAATCCACCACCTACACAAAATTCTTGAGCATGAGAATTCAATCATTAACATATTTTAAACAAATACCCAAAATTTTAAAAAAGCACGAATTTATCTTTGTTCACTCCAAGGGAACATCGATATCCCCATCAGAAATTTCCTGCTGCAAATCTTTAGGGTCTTTCCCATCAACCGTGCACCCAACAGAGACACAAGTTCCCAAAATCTCCTTCACGGTTCCTCTCAGATCCTTAGCCATGGATCTAGGCCTCATGACTCTGGCAATCTCAATCACATCATCAAGGCTAATATTCCCATTATGCTTGATATTCTTCGTCTTCTTACGATCCCTTTCAGGCTCTTTCAAGGCCTTGATGACCAGAGCGGCGGCGGAAGGGACTACGGTGACCTTGGCTTGACGGTTCTGGACGGTAAGCTTAACCGTGACACGTAAGCCCTTCCAGTCCTTGGCGGTTTCTTTGGCGATGTCTTCACCAATTTTCTTGGGGGAGAGACCCAAAGGACCGATTTTAGGCGCGAGGGAACTGGCAGCTCCGACTTCACCTCCGGTGACTCGAACGAAGACGTCGACAACTTGGGTCGGGTCGAACTTCGGCGGCATGCTTAGGGTTAGGAATTTGAGAGGCTGGGTAGCGAGCAAAGGGTGTGAATTTGTGAGGCGGCGATGTGTAAATATGCAGAGTGTTGAAGAGTTTAAAGGGGTGGAAAATTAGGGATTTGGGGTTTGAAAAGTTTTGGGCGTTAGAAATAACGATATTAGTCCAAATCTCTAGGCCTCTTATTTGTTCATTGGAATGATTATTCCAAAACTTACTTGACGTTTATTATAATTTCACTTTTATCTCATGTAAGGATGGAACGGAAGAATACTGACGAAGACATTGTCTCTCTAAAAATTTTAAATTTCAAATTTTGTATGATTTAAATATATTTTTTATTTTCTATAATAATATGTTTTTCTTTAAAATTTTATAATTTCATTCATAACATAAAACCTTAAGTATGTCGTTACCTCATGTCAAACAAGCTGTACACAATCGAGTCTCATAAAAACATCCAACGCTTAAACAGTAATCATATTATCAAAGAGCCTGTAAGACACTTACTAGGTTGAGAGATATGGGGGAAAAGCAAGTAATTTATAATTTAATGGTTGCTTTCCCTCGAGGATACATTGCACTTTCGAAGTCGGAAAAATAAAAAATAGCTTTAGAACCCTAGCAAAACTGATTTATTTACACTGCCTGCTGCAATTGACAATACAACAGATTTGGAAAAGGCTGCACAATGCTGTAAACGAAAAGTGCAAACTCCATTAATTCATCACTGGGATGCCAATGACCAGAAATTCATTAGAAACGACGTCGACATGGCGAACCAGCTGATGAAAGCCATTGCTGTAGCAGTCTCGAACCTGGTGCAGTGGTTAAAGGCACATCTGTTGAGATCGTTTCCGATCGGTACTGTTATACCAGCAGATGCACAAGCTGCAGCAAATGCAAGGGTCGAAGTGATCTGCGTCGAGACATCACTAGGTTTGTTCAACTAGCACATGAAGTTAACTAAACATTCCCACTAGTAAATCCCAAAGCTAACCCACCAAAGATTGTGATATGGATACTAGCATGCACACATAGAGTCATATAACTTCGGATATGGATACTTTTAAGGAAAATGAAGGGTCAGGGTCGGAGTAACATAGTTAACATGGGCATTGAGAACAATAAATGTGATAAGTAGTGTCGAATTATCAGGTTCTATATAGCTAAGTTGGCAAGGCAGAGGAGAAAATGTATCAGAATTAGATGGAAATTTCATTCGCAAAACCAGAATATTGCTTTGTGAAATGTACACCAACAAGGCTTAAATTACAGTATAAGGGTCTCTTTCTTTTAAAAGAGAAAATGTATCAGCATTGAGACCCTGTGTTCTCTTTTAAAAGATCTCTGTATGAACATGAAGTGCAAAATGCATGAACAAACATTATGTCGGTTATGGTAACTTTAATCCTAAAGAACTAAAAGAACTTTTATGAAAGGACGAAACAAGAACAAGCTTACAAGAGTCTGTATGCTGGATCAAGAGTCACTTACCCCATCACAAATGGTAAACAAACGGATTGCTTTGTAGTTCCGCAGGATTCGCTTCACCAAAAGAGCGTATATATCAACAAATGCAAGAGACAAGATCCACAAACTTTGCAAACCTACAGCAAGATCGAGGTAGTTGATGCATTAAAAGCATGAAATATTCATGTTACAACTTACAAATAAGATTAAAATCATGAAACTATCATACGCTGGTCAATGAAGCTAACGTACATCCATGAAAGCAGAACTTACTGACGAGAACAGAAACCTAGAACTTGTATCTCTAAAGAGGCAAAAGCTATTCATTTTCCTAGAGAGAACTAATATATAGTCGTTTAACCCCGGAAAGGTGAGAATGCTAAACTATAGCACTTTTTTACTAATATCAAGCAGCAAAGTAAAATCTGGAACTTCTTTGAAAGAAGCCTGAGGAAAAGATCTAAATGCTAAAACCCTAAACTGATCTAAATGTAACATACTATTACATTATTATATCCTCAGATTGATTGAATAAAAGGAGGGTATTCTTGAATCCACAACTACACCGGTCATCAAAGTCTTGACATTTGTTCAAATGTGCTATAAACGTTATGTCAAAATATGCCTTTCTGTACTTGAATGAAGTTCTCAGTGCAATCATTGACGTTATTAGTCTTTTCCATCAATACACCCATGAAATCACCAACTTCAGAAGCAAATCATCATGAACTCAGTAAACACACCTTACAATAAGAAAATTTTGACAGAAAATACTAACGGTGTTCGAACTAGAATTTTTAAAACGAAAAAGTAAAAAAGAATTCAACTTTTAACTTTTAAAATACAAGGATCACATCTCAAACTTTACCAAAGTGGGGGACTGGCAGCATATTTTGACCCAAACATTAATATCATGGAAGACGATGAATAAACATAACAGTTTTCCCATCTGCTTGGAAGATCAGAATTTTATATAAAAACTTAAAACTAAGAGAACTGCAGTTGATTATAAAGCTAAAATGGTAAACACATTAGTTTGGTGATGATCAAGGCCAACAAATCGAATGTCAATTTCATTAGCTCAAGTTTACAACTTATTGGTTGAAACTGAAATTTACAATTAGAAAGATCAGAACAAAAAAAAAATCCTCACTAACAAATTCAATTAAACATAAAAGAAAAAACCCAAGAAAGGGAAAATATTGAAACATCAGAATGTAAACGGAAATGTGAAAATGGGGTTAATTAGTTAAAACATCAGAAGCTAAGAGAGTTTTAATTTATTATAAAGCTAAAACGATAATTATAATAGTTTGCTGGTGATCAAGGCCAATAAATTGAATGTCTCTTGCATTAGTTCAAGTTTAAAGTCGATCAGAACAAAAAACCCTCAAATTCAGTACAACATAAAGGAAAACCCAGGAAAGGGAAAAGATCTTCACTAACAATTTAGAAAGAAAGGGTTAATTACCTAAAAGCGGTGGCGGAGCGGATATCACTGGTGTTGGCCATTACAGAGATGGAAATGATGGCGAAACTGAACTGAGAAAGACGAAGAAAAAAGCCACCTTTAGTCCCGGGCATGCCTTGAACGTCCTTCATCCTCACTCTAGGAACATGCACTGCAGCCTCCTCCAACGGTGGAGCCTCCACCGGGTGCACCGCCGGACGGCTGACGTTCATTGCTTCACTTTTTTTTTTTAACAAAAGGAACGAAGTTACGATTTTTAATGGAATTGGAAGAAACAAATCTCTAATTTTCCTTTGTTTTTGTGACAAAATGTGTTAAGTTAAATTTGGAAAGGGAAAAATGTGGGTTTAGTTCCGTCCCCGTGTCTTAGAACGAACTGCTAACTAAGCTCTCTTTAGCTGACTTCACTTAAAAGTCAATGGCTGATGGTACTTGTTGGATCTGAGCCGTTGGTTTCATGAACAGTGGGATCTAGTGTGTAATTTACGGACCTGGTGAAATCATGGAACCAGCATTGATTCTCTTGTACATTTTGGCCTACAACTTGGGAACGGTGATACAAGTATTATTTATACACCCTTAATAAATTAAATAATGTCATATATAATATATACATGATTTAATTTACTGATTATTTATATAGTATACATGTCCGAACATCACATCACATGTCAAGTTATTCTTTTTTAAATGTTATAATATTTTATTTAGTTATTTTGTTGAGGTATTATATTTTGAATTTAATATTAAAATATATGATTAGATTTTAAACATGTATATAACATACATATAATTTAGATGTAACATTAAAATTTTCTTTCAAGTTGACAACGATTCTTCATTCATTTCTTTGTCTTTTTTTCCTTCATGATTTTAAGGTTTTGTCTATTTTAAAAACTACATTAAAAACGTCAAAAATATAAGAATAATTATTACTATTATAATAATGGCACTCTTGAGTTTGGGTTCCAAGCCTGAAGCATTTCATCGTGAAGGTCACTATTGGCGAGCCTTTCTTTTCTTCTCTTTTAAGTTGGGAAATTGGGTTTTTTTTTTATTTCTAAAAGAAAAATCTTATGTTACTTCGTTTCGAATTAGAATGTCGGATATATACGGATATGTTCAATTTTTTTTTGATCGTATCTTCTTCGTAGCCATTGTGTCGAACATGTTGTAACAAGTACGTATGTCTGATTCTTAGGCTTATATCTCTTGTTAATGAGATTATAAGCTTCAAAAATGGTGGATTGGATTATCAAAACTTATGATTTCTTGTTGTTCTTTATATTACGGCTCTTCCTTCTTCTTTTTTCAGGATCTGTACATCTGGACTTCTAGTGATGTTGACATTTAAATTGGAGAAATGTCTTTCCATCTCCACAAGGTGTGTTACTTCATCTATATTTTGTCTTTGAAATGGTTGTTTTTCAAGCCGAGTCGATTTGAAAATGTTCGTTTCGAATATGGATTACAGTTTCCATTGCTTTCGAGAAGTGGGATGCTAAGGAAGCTTATTGAAGAGTGTTCTACTGGTGATGGAGCAAGTTTTAGTTTGAGGCTTGATGATTTACCCGGTGGAGCCAAAGCTTTCGAGCTTATATCGAAGTTTTGCTACGGAGTTAAAATCGAACTCACTGCACACAACATCGTTAGCGTTAGATGTGCAGCAGAGTACCTCGAGATGACTGATGATAATGGAGATGAGAATCTCGTTTTACAAACGGAGTCTTTCCTCGAGGAAGTGCTCAGTACTTGGGCGGATTCGATTTGAACTCTTGAAGCATGTGAAGAAGTTATGCCATATGCTGAAGAGCTTTACATTGTGTCGAGGTGCATTGATTCGTTGGCAATGAAGGCTTGTGAGGACCCGAGTCTATAAGGCTGGCCTTTGACGGTACGCGAGAGCAAGCAAAGTCCAGAAAACAATGGTTTATGGAACGGAATATCGACCGGTAATTGGTGGTTCGAAAACGTAACGTTCCTTAGTCTACCAACATATAAAAGACTGATTTTAGCTATTGAATCAAGAGGCATGAGGCCTGAGAGCATAGCTGCATCAGTGGCACACTATGCTAGGACGTATCTTCCCTTGGTGAATTGACAATAGAGCTTCGACAATGCGAATCAGGGAACAAATATTCCGAAACCTTCGGAAGCCGATCAAAGGGTTCTCCT